GGACGGGGACCTAGACCCCTCGACAGGAGTTGAATGGGTTGGTCATATTTTATGCCTGGGGTACAAACGGGGTGTGTGTTTTGGGTACCCAGCTGGGATACATTGGTTCATAAATCATCGTTTTTGTAAGACGGTACGACTTGGCTATGGTCTAGCACCGTTGTAAGAACTGAAACTTAAAAGATGATAAAATGGTTCTGATTGCTTACCACCTGCTTAAAAGTAGCATGCGTGCTTACATAGAATGATTAGTTAATGAACTAATGATGACTGCTAATAAAATTGAATATAAGGACGTACGTTTAGTAATGCTTCCGCAGATGTAATAACCCATAGGCCAAATAAGCCTTGTATATCGTTGGAGTCTTTTATTTTCCTCCTGTCGGGTAAGTCTCGCTGAGTACAATCGAGTACTCAGGGTTTTATTCTCCCTGTTGCAGGTGATCGAAGGATACTTAGAGCTGACTCTTGTATGTGGAAACCTCCTGATGGGCCCAGAGAGGATTTCTTTCACGCTACGGCCGTAGTATTTATTTATAACCCTCACTAAAGGTTTTTATAAGAAAAGATGTAAAATCTGCTAGCATCTCTTGTATAAAAATGTCCACTATGTTAATGCCCCACCATGTCATTAAATTAATCTTTGCTTCCTCTGTAATTCTGATAACATTGTTATATTTCGCTGTTATAATCAATTGAGGTAATATTCGTTACTGTAATAAAGTGATGTAAGAAATTGTTTAAGAATGTTGTAAGCTTTATTCTCTCATTTATGATCTTGATGGAAAAATATGGATTTTTGAGTTCTTCCTTGGGGTGTGCTCGACGGAACAGCATAATTTAGTGCGCTCTCTTGGGTACTTAGTGTCTAATGGAAGACAAGTACTCTTGGGAGGGCATTAGATTAGACGGTTCTGCCACATATGGTATGCTTTAGTATAGAGTTTTTGCTATGGCTTTACATCTATGCTTTTATATAATTAATTGGAATAATTCATAGCTGCAGTTTTTATGGTCTAATTATGATAAAATTTTTATGGTGAGCTAATTATTGTATGATTGAACTGTAGTAAAAATTTGATACTCATTCGGTCATGTATAGCTTAGTTATATATTTATTTATATTTAACAAGTATAAACCTAAATAAAATATACAACTAAGTTATACATGATCCAATGTGTTTGAAATTTTTACTACAATTTAAGTATACAATAATTAGCCCACCATAAAAAAATTCACCATAATTGGACCATAGAAACTGCAGCTATGAATTATTCCATTTAATTATAGAAAAACATAGATCTAAAGTCATAGAAAAACTTTATACTAAAGCATACCATATTATATATTCACTGTATAGATCTACTCATGCGGAGTCCAACAAAATTAAAATTTATATTTTATGATTTTTCTGTGATTTACTATGATTTTTCAAAGATTCAGCTGAAATAAATAAAAAAGACAAAAGACAAAACCGCCTTCAAAACCGTTTATATTAGGGCCAGGGAGGTAAGATGAATGGTTTTAAAAATTGAGGGATGTGTTTTGCCCGGTTTTGGAGTTTGAGGAGGAAAAGCGGACTTTCGTGAAAGTTGAGGAGGTAATGTGGACTTTTTTCTGCTGTAATTGCCTGGCCCTGGTGGCAGGCCGGGAGGTCAGGCAGCACGAAGTAGGCTGGAGGAGAGAGCCTTGCATCCTCATTCGTTGGAAGAAGATGACGCATTGTGCTTGAATAAGACTCGGTAACTGCAAGATGAAGATCCAACGGGCTTTGGTTTATCAACCTAAAGGAATAAAAAAAAATGCACACGATATTATTTCCTTAATTCAGCCACCGAGGAAAAAGTGCTTGTGCTGATAAAGTTCTTATTTGGCACAGCTCAGTTTTATTAGTAAAGTTATTTGTTTGCAAAATAGCTTCATGAGTAACTAACACTTTCCAAACTGATGTTACAGACAACCTGTGGTTCTTTCTTTATCAGCCATCAGATTACGTATATAAATATTTTAGCTCTATCCTGTTTTCTCTGTTTGATCTGATGATAGCTAACACTTTCTTTCGTAAGAGAGTCCTATTTAGTGACCTTTAGTAGCGGCCAGTACTCTAGTCAAATTGACTTTGTCCTTACAAGGAGGGATAAACGAACATGTATGGACTGTAAGGTGATACCTAAAGAATGTGTGGTCGCTCAACACAGGCTGGTGGTGGCTGACTTCCACTTTCTGGTGCAAGCTCGTGGGAACAAACAAGCTAGGGTTGCTAGAACTAAGTGGTGGAAATTAGAAGGGAAGGCATCAAAGGTCTTTAAGGAAAAGATCATTGAAGAGGGCTCTTGGAATGATGAAGACGATGCAAACAGCATGTAGGAGAAGATGGCAACATACATTCGGAAGGTTGCTTCAGAGGTGCTTGGAGTGACCAAAGGGAGCGGATGCGATTCAAAAGACACTTGGTGGTAGAGTGAAGATGTGCAAAAGGCTATTAAGGAAAAGAAGGAGTGCTACAAGCGCTTGTATCATGACAGGTGTGCAAACAACATAGAGAAGTACAAGGTGGCAAAGAAGACTGCAAAACGAGCGGTGAGTGAGGCAAAGGGGCGGGCCTATGAGGACCTTTACCGATGTTTGAGTATGAAGGAAGGAGAGAAGGACATTTATAAGATGGCTAGGGCTCGTGATAGGAAGACAAGGGACTTCAGCCAAGTTAAGTGCATAAAGGATGAGAGGGAGCAGCTCTTAGTGAAGGAGGATGAGATCAGACATAGATGGCAAGAGTATTTTGATAAATTATTCAATGGTGAGAATGAGAACACCACCATTCAGCTGGACGACTCATTTGATGACACTAACAGGTGCTTTGTGTGGAGGATTCAAGAATCAGAGGTCAGAGAAGCCTTGAAAAGGATGAAAGAGGACAAAGCGATGGGCCCTGATGGTATCCTAATCAAGGTGTGGAGATGTCTCGGGGATATAGCTATAGTATGGCTAACCAAGATGTTCAATAATATCTTTCGATCGAACAAAATGCTGAGGAGTGGAGAAGAAACATATTGGTACCAATCTACAAGAACAAGGGAGATATCTAAAGTTGTACTAATTATCGGGGAATTAAGTTGATGAGCCACACTATGAAGTTATGGGAGAGAGTCATCGAGCAGCGCCTGCGAGAAACGACGCAGATATCAACAAACCAATTTGATTTTATGCCTAGAAGGTCAACCACAGAAGCAATCTTCTTAATAAGACAGGTTATAAAGAGGTTTAGAGAGCAGAAGAAGGACCTCCACTTGGTTTTCATTGACTTAGAGAAGGCTTATGATAAGATAACAAGAAATATTATGTGGTGGTCTTTGGACAAATATAAAGTTCCATCAAAGTACGTGACCATCATCAAGGACATGTACAACAATGTTGTGACTAGTGTTCGAACAAACGATGGTAACACATATTACTTTCCGATTAAAATTGGACTTCATCAAGAGTCAGTCTTAAGCCCGTATCTCTTTGCCTTGGTAATAGATGAGGTTACCAGGAACATACAAGGGGATATCCATTGGTATATATTGTTCGCTGATGATGTAGTGTTAGTGGACGAAAGTCAGACGGGAGTAAATAGGAAACTAGAGTTATGGCGGCAGACCCTTGAGTCTAAAGATTTTAGATTGAGCAGAACTAAAACCAAATACATAAGATGCGACTTTGGCGGAGTTGTACAGGAGGAGGGAGATGTGAGTTTGGAAGGTCAAGTAGTGCCTAAGAAGGATATCTTTCGGTATCTGGGATCGATGCTACAGAGGGATGGAGATATTAATGCGGACGTTAGCCATAGAATCAAAGCAGGGTGGATCAAGTGACAACAAGCTTCTGGCATTCTCTGTGATAAGAGGGTACTACAAAAGTTAAAAGGCAAGTTCTATAGAACTGTGATTAGACCGGCTATGTTGTATGGAGCAGAATGTTGGCTTACAAAGATTCGACATGTTCAACTGAGTGTTGCAGAAATACGTATGTTGCTATGGATTTGCGGTCACACAAGAATGGACCGAGTTCGGAATGATGATATACGTGATCGCCTAGAGATAGCACCAATTGAACAAAAGCTTGTCCAACATCGGTTGAGGTGGTTTGGCCATGTCCAAAGAAAACCTCCAGAGGCACCAGTGCATTGTGGAGTCCTAAGCCAAGCTAATAATATGAGGAGAGGTAGAGGAAGACCGAAATTGATATGGGGGAGACAATAAAAAGATATTTGAAAGCTTGGGATATACCTAGAGATCTATGTTTGAATAGGAGTACTTGGAAAGCAACTATTGAAGTGCCTGAACCATGACTTGGGGCTCTTGGTGGGTTTCAACTCTAGCCTATTCTAACTTGCTTGGGACTGAAAGGCTATGTTGTTGTTGTTGTTGTTGTTGTTGTTGTATCCTGTTTTCTCTGTTTTCAGTCATCAGCCAACATGCTAAAAATACTAATCTGCATACTACAAGTCTGAAACTTTCTAAAGGTAGAAAACCCTGCAGAAAGAATCACTTTATAACTTCTGTTGACATACTACAATTTTGTTAGGAATTGAAAATTGTGGCAGATATGTACTAAGTAAGATCTTCAGCTGATTTAAACTTGTTTTTAGCAGACACCAGAACTGCCGCTTTGATTGTTGTTTTTATATACAAATTTATTAAATGGAGCTGAATCTAGTTTGTTGAACTAGCGTAGCTACTATTGAATTGAACTAACTGGCCTATTACTGAATTGCACCACAAGCGCAAGCAGCTGTAGACTGATTTAGAGAGATTGATATATGTATGATTTACTGATAGATAGATCAGGGATCCTTAGCTTCGAGTCTAGCAACTTCTAGTAGTAGTAGTAGTTTACTTCCCATCACTTAATATTTTTTGATGCATTGTGAAAGAACAACTACAATATTTTAAGTTTCGATGAACGGACCAGCATGTCTTGATCGCTAGATCATGGGGTTTCAGTGGCAAGTCAATGCTTACTCCTTGTTCATGTTCGTTGTTTTCAAGTCAATGCTTTTGGTGGCAATACCCATATCTTTTTCACTAGATAATGGGTTTTCAGAATTAGCTAGCAACTTAGACACATGTTGCTGGTTTGAATTGTTGTTAACCAACCCATCTATCTGGTAGACCATCATGGTACCATCAGACAGACGAACTAGTGCCCCTTGATTCCAATCTTTTTGTGCTACTAATCTGAGATTTCCCTGCATGGCGAATTCCTGTGCCAAAGGATCAGCCTGCCTAGACAGCTCTGGCCGGCCTGATGGCATTGAGGCCACAGTCAGTCCTAGGTTTTAACAGTTCTACATTCACGGGAGATCTGCATGCCAAATATGTACTACGGGTCATTTTTCCTATAGCAATGCTAATCATGATGGTTCATACAGTCATATGTCTCTGCTTATTTTTAAGCCGGGGGTGGGGTGGGGCTGTGGGTTGCAGATGAACACAGACACTATATTTGCTTTTTCAGAATACATAAATTGCCCATTTAAGAAGAGATTGTTGCCTAATGAATGACACTTAAATTGCCTAAGAAAATGCAATCCACTACAGCATTACCGTATCATGTGATGGGATTTTATCATTGCACTTTTACTGCTGTGGTTATGCACGGATTTTCAGGTTTCTATTTGCTCTTTCTGATAAGCTGCTTGTTATCACAGGGCTATTTGTTATTCTAAACATGGAGGTTCTTGCTACAGAATGTGATATTATTGGAAATCCAGCACTACCTCCTGATTCTGGAGATTCTTATTCCATGGAGCACCTCAAAAATGGTTCAATGGCAGGGAGTGCTTTGAACAAAGTGGCAAGGCCCTCTGACAATGCTCAAGTAATCCAGAGATCGATGGCAGGAAACTCTTTGAACATGGTCCCTAGGCCAAGTGACAATGCACAGGTATTCCAACCAACAGTACAAGCATTTTTCCATATCTAATGACAAGCAATGGGCCTATCACTTTTGGTCTTTGGATAGGTCCTTTTATGTTTTGCGATGTAGACATGTAGTAGGACAAATGACAGCTGGATCGGTTTGGGGTATCATGGATTCTAGTTGAGATACCACTAATTGACTACATGTCACATATGCATTGATTAGTTACCAAACTTCATTGGGAATAGGCAACTAAATGTACTCTGACCAGGCAATATTGTGGCAAGATCAAGGCAAAATAATGCAAATCATTAGGCAATGTTTATATCATTCTTCTCTAATCTCTCTTTGTTTTTTTTCTGTTTTTACATTGCAAGTTCCAAGTTATCTAGCAGGGGGAGATCAAGTACAAAGTACAAAGCAGGTATGATGTATGCAATATATATGTAAATAAGTACATATGTGGTGAGAGAGGAAATTATATTGGAGGATGATTGGGTTGGATTTTAGATCCATGTCAGTTAGGCACTTGCGTCTTTTAATCGAATCTCTAATTTTTTTTTGCAAATAAACCGGGGATGGGGTGGGGGTGGGACTGTGGGTTGCAAATGAACATAGACACTATACTTGCTTTTTTAGAATACATAAATTGCTTATTTGAGAAGACATTGTTGCCTAACGAGTGACGCTTAAATTGTCCAAGAAAATGTAATTCACTACAGCATTTACCTGCAGCAACCTGCTCATCACCAATATAGGCTCCAGGAACAATAATGCCTTCTCAAATAGGCAACATATTTATCTCCATCCAGCAACAAAATTATGACACATGTTATCCTTTTTTAACATGCAGGATGTACTCCATGTACTGGGAAGTAAGATGCAGGCCATGTACAGAGAAGATGCGTAACTCTGTGCTTTTTCCAAGGGGCTAGATGTAGTGTTGTGATCTAGAAAACTGCAGATGCAAAATGTGTTTTTTATGAATACATTGTCCTTTTTTGAACATATACATGTAGTACATTATAGCATATGTCTGGGGCTGATTGGCCTTTTTTTTTCAAAAAAAAAACCGTCGTCGTATCTGGGCCTAGCTGCGCAAGCCGCGAGGGCGGGAATTTTTTTCCTCTGGGCATGCCAACAAGCCAACGTTAATTAGCATCTTGCTAAAAAAAGGTGTCTAATAATTGCGCTTTTACCAAAAAAACAGTAAGGCCGTGCGGAAGCACTATATTATGGCCAGCCGTGCATTAGCCACTTCCACAAATTTATATATGATGTTAGAAGTGAATGTAAATGAGAACTGTTGTTTTCATCGATCTCGGAAATATATTTATATAAGTGGAGGGGTGTCACGAAGAGACACGACTATTCCCAAAAGACATGTCCTTTGGAACTCAAATTAACTGTCTAATCCTATCTACTAACTCTGTGCTTGATGGATGAGATCAGTCGTGAGAGATGCATGTTCGTCTGTAGACGTCCGTTCGTGTATAGGTGTCGTTTCACAACACTCCCCCTTAATCGAATCTTCCTTGAGATCAATTCAGCTATAAGCTAAAATTCCTCGAAAAACCATATGAAAAAAACTAAGGAATATATGATATACCATAAAAACTCCTTTAAACCTTATTGGAAAATAAGGAGAAAATAGCATATTTATTTGTGATTTAAATAAACCACTATGTCATTGGTATCCCATTAAAAACCCTTATGGGGAAAAATATTGGAGATACGACATAAAGATAACTCCCCCAAAAACCTTTCAGGAAAAATATGAGTAGCAATATAAAGTGATATGCCGCTAAAACTCCTGTAAAAATCCAGTGGGAAAATTAGGAGAAAATGTGACGACATATTATTGGTATTGTCTCTTGGATAACTCACATGAAAAACCTTTTCGGAGAAAAACCATGAATGAGTTGTAAGGGCAATATGTGTCTTTGATATTTCCCACAAAAAAACCCTGATGGGAAAAATAGAAAATATGACACATGCTTATGTTAATATTACCTCATTAAAAACTTTAACAAAAAACCTTGAGTAAAACTTGTGAAAGAAAAGAGTATAATATGATACTGGTACATGTCAGCATCCAGGAGACGTCTCCCCCTGATTTTGCAAATTTTGAAGTCGTCGCATACCAATCTTATATATAAATTTTTGAAACATAGAAGTTGGTAATGACTTAGTAAATAGTTCAGCGAGATTATTACATGCAGTGATTTGCAAGATGTTTATTTTTCCGCTTTCTTGTAACTTATGGGGATAAAACAGCTTAGGGGCAATGTCCTTAGCGACATTACTCTTTATGTAACCTATTTGCATCTATGTAACATAAACGAAATTATCTTCATAGATAATTGTAGGTGATTTAATCGAACCAATACCACATGCTTGTTGTATGTGGTTAGTCATTCTACGAAGTCATACACATTCATGTGATGTCTCGTATAGAGCAATAATTTCAGAATGATTAGTATAGGTCGTCGTCAGAGTCTGTTTAGAAGACTTCATGAAATAACTTTACCTCCATGTAAGAATACAAATTCAGTTTGGGATGAGGACTAGATAAGTAACCAGCATCCGTGTATCCAATCATATTGGGATCATGATTTCTCTTAAAGAATAAACCAAGATACTTTGTGCCACTAAGATATCTGAGGATATGCTTCGCTCCCGTCTAATGACGGTGAGTTGGATTTGCACTATGTCTAACTAGTATGTTCACTGCAAATGCGATATCAGGCCTGGTGCAATTTATAAGATACATAAGTGCTCCAATAACACTAAGATATGGAACCTTGGTCCCAATTTCTTTTCTCCAATATCTCGTGATCTAAATGGATCTTTCTCTATTTCTAAAGGATGAACAATCATCGATGTTTTGTTATGATATGATTTGTCTATATTGAATTTCTCTAATATTTTCTAGATATAGGCTGATTGATGCACTAAAATCCCTGAAGGACGGTACTCAAGTTGTAAGCCTAGGCAATATTTGGTCTTACCCAAATCCTTCATCTCGAATCCACATGATGGAAATTGTATCTCAAATGATTGCATAATTATTTCTGTATCATGATGATATCAAAATAACTAATATACGCAATCATGCTTAATTATACACAATGTATGTTGCAATTTGTATTTGGATTTAGAATGTGAAGTCCATTGGGACTTATACATCCGAATCTATTAAATTCATTTGATATGCCAATTATTGAATTTGGAAAACTTCATTTTCACACATACCATGGGGTATGCTATGCTGGGTCTCTGCGTGAAACCATATGCTACAAGCTCTCATTGTTCACCACCTTGCTTCTGAAAAGAAACTCTACGAGGGAAGATATTACTGTAGTAATACTTCTCATCATTGAACAAGAACAATCTCCTTAATTGCCATCTTTTAGTTTGACCAAATTTGAGTGTGAAGACACTCTGCCTAGGACTTTTGGTCTGAATCCAGTAAGGTAAAAAAGCAATCTTTGAGAAGTATATGCCGTGACAATTTGTAGTCTTTAAATGATTGATTCGGTTCTTAAAATCAATATAGCATGTGAAAATGTTAACCCTTTTGGACTTCGAGTCATTTCCCATATGGAGTCAGGGTGTTCCAATGTCCCAGGATCAGAATTTGGGTGCACCGTTGATCCGGGTGGATTTTGATCCGGGTTTTGGATGCTCATCCATTTTGGATGTCTACCAACTTAAGGTTGGCTTGGGTTTACTGATTTGGAGGATATTGTCCTCGGTATCCTCGGACGCTTACTTGGAGCATTATCCTTATGAGCGACCGTACTTCTCCCCTACTTCTTTGGAAGTGGGAGTTGAATGGTTTTAATTGGTATCTTCATTCTTTCAGGCGCATTATAAGTAGGATAAGAGGATTTTGTGACACCCTTATTATCAGTAAATGTTTCTGGCAGATTCTTTGCAATATGATGTAAATAGAAGATATTCTAAACGATTAGATTTAGAATTTTTGGTACGTAGATGTGAGGATTGCTCTTTTGATTCCTGACATTCTTAATGTGGTATAAATCTTCCCCTAATGTCTGGAATTATCCTCAAATGTGATCAACATACGGGCAATTTATAAATCCCCTGTAGAGTTAGCTCTTGGGATCCCTAATGCCCATTGGTATGTTGGGGTGGTGATATGGGTATGTGAAAACATACTCGATGCGCAGATGAGAAATGTTTGGCTGCGGTCAAAGTTTCACGTACATACTGCAACTGAGGGAGTTGTATAAGTGCAGCTTGATAAATTTGAATTAACGATGTGGTGTGTAAGGCCGCATGAAAACTACTTAGTTCTGGTAAATTACAATTCTATTTTAATATGTCATGCAATTTGATTCTCAATAAGAGACTCAATAAAACCATTATTGGTATGGACATAAGAACTTGATATATAGTACCCAAAAACCAAACTGTTCCATATAAAATGGATTTGATCCCGCATCTAGGATAATTTACTCTAAATTGAAGATTTCAAGCAATGAGTTTGGTATAGTGATGGTTCTCATGACTAAGAGACACACCTGGGAATATATTATGGATGCATAAATGTGCATTACATAGTATCTTTATGGTCCATAAAATGATAAATAGAGTCACATGTATGTTCTTGAATTTCTTCAAGAAATATAGTAGCTCATATTGATGCTATGACCAATAGAATTGACAATAATTCTCAAGTTATCTCTATAGTTGAATAACTAAGGCAAATGTGCCAAGTCTTGTTGACATCAAGAGAGAGAATTATTTGTACGCAACATTGGATACAGGTTATGTATATGTAGTCAAATCCAACTGGGGATGTTTTGTTTAAGTATTACCATATCCGTTGTTAAGAGGAAAATACTCTTAGTTGTCATCTTGGGGTTTCCATATAAAAACCATATTGACGGATATCTCTATAATGTTTATTGGGTACATTTTAGAATCAGAATACAAGAATAAATTCATGATTATAATTTAAGTACCAACAGGGAGTATGATAGTAGGACAATCAAAGCCCACTATCATGACATCGCGTCAAGCAATTAACAAAATATTTTCTTGTCTCTATGTAAGAGTTTAGGAATATTTTGCTTCCCTATGTATAGAGTTTGTGATGCAACTATTCACTAAACAAAATTCCTCTTTGCATTTGGATTGACTCCCATATAGGTCTATATATAGCATGAAGAATATAATGACATTCTTTGCAAATATATAGATTACATACAAGTTAATTAATAGAATATCAAATGTGATGGCACATTATTGTGATATTCAATTAAAATTGATGATGACATTTTATATTACAACACCAAAATGGGACAAAGATAATAGGTATCTTTGTAAATGGAAGACAAATTTGGTCTCCAAAATGGATCAAGCGAAGTAAATTCGATGATTGTGCTCTCCATGCTCATAAGACCCACTTATTAATTAAGTGTTTGGTTGGTACTTGGTTTTTTCATGAAACTTGTTGTGAACAATTGGCCTTCCTAGTGGTGTCAGGTTGAAGATAGAAGCGTGCTTCATATCTTTATTGTTGAGACGGATATTTATATCCAATAAATTTGTAATACAGATCAATTAAATATTTTAAGACATGACATTTCCAAGTTGTGTGGCTGTAACATACACAATTGGGACAAAATATGGTTCTGTCATATTTGGGAAATGCCTTGACCCTAAAGAATGCACAGGGTTGCTACTTCTTTTTGTGTTAAATCTTACCATTAAAGTTCTATGGATGGCATTACTACATGGCATCGAACTTGTAATGATTCTGAAAATTCAATGTACTTCAGATGATAGAGCATCACTATAATGCTAATGATGATTCCTCGATAAGAGTTTATCATACACTTAGACCTGAAGTAGTGTAGGAATTAATCTAGAATACATTTGGTAAGTTGTGTGCTTTCGCGAAAACGCAATGTTAGGGGATATTTTGGAACAACATAATTATATTCTCAAGTGGACTTAAGATCCTAGAGATAAAGTTATGGGCAATCATAGTTGGCATTGGGCAGAATGACTGCCTTGTGTTGTTCGTATCACTCATTGAAAGCTAGCCATATAGTGCTTCGATTTGCACCCATTGAGATACACATACGTGTGACCTGGGTGTATATGATGCTTTATTTAAATAAAACTCCGTATTTAAATTGATCATAAGAGGTGATGCTCTCTTATGAAGAGCATCAAATATTGCCATGAATCTATAGAACATCAAGTTTAACATTACGTACATTGACCATGTTAGATAATGGTGATCATCAAGAGTGAGAGATCAAATTCTTTCGTGTCCATTATTCCAACTAGGTGCAAACCATAGAATTTCTGAATTTACTTTTAAGGGTAAATTAAAATTGCTATGGTAGTGTTGTAATGGGATGCAAAATAAAAAAGATAATCTTGTATTAATGTTAGTGTAAAAATCTCATATGCATAATAACATAATGGAGGTAGTTACAGTAAAGGTGTAGACCTCAAAATGGGCATAATCTGTGTTAACAGTAGATGCCAAGTCATTAATGCAAGTTGTATGAACACGTCTTAGAGTAGTCATCAAAGATTGATGTAGACCTTAGTTAATTCGCAAACGAATTGGGCACTCACGTTGAGGATACTCACTAAGTTGTGGACCTAGTGTAGATCCTACAGTAGCAACTATGATGCTACCTTGTGGATGACCAATAGGAATGCGAACTAATGGTAGTCATCTTTGTGAAAAGATATAGACCATATGTTTTAATTTGTGATGTTGGGTACGCACGTTGAGGATAGTCAATAAGTGTTTACTTAGTGTAGATCCCGCAGTAGCAACTTTGGTGCTACCTTGTGTATGGCCAACAAACAAATATAGAACATGCGCATTATACAATTGATGAGAAAATACACATAAAATATTGCATCCATAATTTAAGCACGTAGTGCTTTAAAATTGAAAAACTTAAATGGGCTTAAATCAAATGATCAATTGCATATTAAATAAATGAATTGCAAGATCATGGTCATAATAGTAAGGATACTTGTTTATTGGATTTGCCGGACAAATACTTTGAACAGTACCATAAATAGACATTTTACAATAGTAAAACATCACAAGTACAATAATTGTTAAAGTCAGCGAGCTAAACAAATAGTACTTACATATAGAATAACTATGTAGTTTGCTGCAGAGAATTATTAGAGACAAATAGTCTTATGCGAATTCTTTGCAAATAAAAAAAAGTAGCAGGCTTGCCGGCCGTCAGGCCCATTTAGCAAGGATGCTTTACGAGCATGCTGCATGCCATCCAAGCAAAACGATCTGATAAGAACGAGTGGCAGAAACTGCCTCTCGCTCGAAGCCATCGCTATCGCAGCCTGCAGAAACACCACCGCCGTCGCCATGGAGGAGGCCGCTGCAGTCGCCGAATCACGCCGTTACCGACGGATTCAAGCAGCCGGACAACGCTCCCTCCTCCCTCGAGATGCTCAGGCCGGCTAGGGGGCGCGGCCCGCAACCTCGTCGGAGGAGAGGTGCCCCGCGCCGCCGTTCTCGCTTGACCCGGCGTGGCCGTTGGGGAGGCCGCGCGCCGATGGTCCTTGAGGGACGCGGAGCCAGGTCCGTCGCAGACCGGGGCGGCGGTTGGCGGCTTCGCCGGCGTGGATGCGGCGTGGAATCGGCGCAGTCGGCAGAGGCGAAGGCGGCGGGGCGTCGTCGAGGGCTCGGCTGCTCGAAACTTCACCACGTGCGAGCGCGGCGCAACAGGCGTGGGGCCACGTGCGTGCCTGGCTACGGGGGCCGCCGAGTGCAGGCGCGATTGGGAGCAGCCGGCCGCCGCTGCCGGTCGCAGTCACCAGGTCGCGCGGGACGCCGTCTCCGGGCCATTGCGGGAAAGCCGCCGGCCGTGGCGCGAGGCCATGGCACGGAGGCCGCGGGGGGCCACGGCGGGGAAGCCTCTGGCCGTGAAGTCACCAGCGAGGGTGCTGCCGGCCGGACAGACGCGGGCTCACCATCCTGATGCGCGCGGAGTCGCGTCTGTGCCGCAAGGATGGTCTCGATGATCATGGGCATAACAGCACGGAGATGGCAGTCCCAAAGATGACGAACTTGACGAAGAACAAGCAACGACGAGTATCGCTGCCTTAGGTAAGAAACACAGAAGCATTCCATACCTTGATCCAGTTCTCGTTCCTGCATCCTTGATCCTCCGTACTACGGTTCTCTTCTTGAACGATTGACGAAGAAAGCCTCTGCTCTTCTCGTCTTGCCGTGCAGCAACAGCGCCGGGTAACTCTTCTGGCTTCTCAACTTGCAGTGGAGAGCGCGTGCTTGATAACGTGTTAGAAGTGAATGTAAATGAACAAGACGTGGAAGAACTGTTGTTTTCGTTGATCTCGAAAATATATTTATACAAGTGGAGTAGTGTCATGAAGGGACACGATTATTCCCAAAAGACATGCCCTTTAGAACTAAAATTAACTGTCTAATCTTATCCACTAATCATGTGCTTGATGGATGAGATCACTCGTAAAGAGACGTATGTTCGTCTGTAGACGTCCGTTCACGTATAGGTGTCGTTTCACAACATATGAAAACCCTTTTTCTAGTTTTTGATTGGTGCACGCGTGATCTGAAGGATATAAGTCTTTTTTATTTTACAACTTTAAAATTGATATATTTTGACTACCATGTAATTTTGCATGGTACCTGACGCATTTGATTTTGCATGCGATGTGATTCGTATGTGTAATAGTGTGTTACTCCGTCATTTGCCAATGTGACATGATTTGCATGTGAGAGTGTTACTCCGTGTGGTAGGAAATTGCTCTATAAGATGGAGTGCAACACAAGGTGTACCCACACTATAGATGGATTTAGATCGAACATGCATGAAATCGGATTCAGATAGCACTTTTTACCCTATTTTAGTTCAAATACTAATACAAATACAGATATTACCATATGTGAATACAACACGGATATAGTTCAAATTTAGATTTACATTCGAATGTCAACTTGATTTTCAAGACAACAGCTATCCATTTTGTACACGTAGATATTTAAAACTTCCGTCTGCATTCTATTCCAGACAACCCACGAGAAAAAAAAACATCTAGTCGAACTAAGTGTTTTTCATTCTCGTCTTGCATTGCATGTGCATTCCTATCCTATTTCTGTGTTTTCCTATTACTACATTTTTTTTCTCAATCCCAGGTTATAAAAAGCAAGCGTAAGTACTAAGTAGAGCAAAACTTTAGGCAAAGCTATGTATGATACCAGAAAAGATGTCAACATGTCACACACAAGTCGGGCTAATCTTTGGAACACAAGTGAGCACTGAGCAGCTCGTTGTCACAGCATCCAGCATATAGCTAACACATGAGTCTACTCAGGTAGTTAACATCCAATACAACTCTCACTAAACCACAATGACATGATAAGGATGGATGGAGTACAATGTCACATACTCAAGGCGAGCACCAAACATCATTCCTGCCATAAGAACCTTCACTTGCCACTGCAAAAGGTGAAAATGACAGATTTTAGAAGTCCATTCAATAGAAATTACAAGGTTCAGAATAATTAGCCAGAATACAAAGGTAGGATTTGTTCACTCACGTGTTCATCATCAAAGTTATGTTGTCACCTTTGAGGAGTATCCGGCCTGCAAATCATTTGACAACGAAACATATTAGAGCATAACAAGAAACCATGATATCAATTCATGTGATGGGGGAAAACAATTTTCCAGGGTTGCATGTTTTACTAACCCAGTGATTTCCTAGTGTTTTTCTTGACGTTGATTTCCTCAGCATCATCGAGGACTAAGTTCATGTACTCATCGAATCCCTGCAAGTGTAGCAAATTATAAGTTTCACTAAATATAGTACAATCTGCAGGGTTTAATGCGAGCAATCATATCAAGGTATGAGTTGTTCTACTGAACAGTATGCGATTAAAATGGCCCATTCCCTAACGTATGTACAAGCAATATAACTGCCAGATATAGCCTATAGGGCATCTTTGGGACCGTTGTGGAGCTTGAGCAGGAGCTAGACTAGGGCCTTAAGGGTGACCTACCTTGTCCCCATTTTTAGACCCAAAAAAATGCCTGGTACAATTCGTTTTACCCTGTAAACTCCTAATTTTGTATGAATCCTAGAGTTCAAGCTCTCTCAAAGAGGCTCATAGTATGGATGCGTGAATAGCGAGCTCCTGGATTCCAATATCCATACGGCCATTATCAGTCAACCATTACTCCAAAAAAAATATATGAACAAGAGGCTACGACTAAACAATATGCAGAAACCTAGAATTTCAGGCCACGGTAGAGAATGAATTAAATTTGTGTTACTATATAACTCTATTAGTTTTCAAGACACCACTGATGGCATAACATAGCCTAGTTGGCGATAGTAAATGGAAAAGGAACATCTGTATAGCCCCACAAAAACAGACATCCATAACATGTCCTGCAGTGCAGGGTCACCCATACATTAATCAGATCAGACAGAAACATAGAAGACCAAATAAGGGGAAAATAGGCAAGTAAAAAGTGAAAGGTCCTGCTTTTATATCACATAATGAACACATATAGGAAAACACAAATGACATCGAAATAGAATTTTTTTTAAAAAAAGAACACATGCTACCACACCATACACCAATCACCCAGGACAATACAAATATTTTCCTAAGAAACCCAAGGAGCACTAAACATGTCCATGAGTGATTCCTGATTGTCACTTAACACCATCATTTGTTTCCCACTGTTCATGAGGCAAAACAAGAGACTCACAAGTCACAACACATATACAGTGTGGTGTTATGTACCCAGAAAGTGAAGCCAAGGATCCCCCACACATATACAGCTGTACCCACAAAGAAGCCAAAGGATCCCTAAATGAAAACATTCTAAATAGCATCTTTCAGAAGTCCTTCACTATTTGTTTATATAAGCAATGATAATATTCTGATTGGGCAAAAAGGTAATATTTCCATATGAAAGCAACAAAGCTCGACGCTATTTACAGTAGTTGTTCATAGTTCATATAGATCAGTTCTTCAGTCCACACGACAAGGGTTAGGATTGATTCCAGATTTAAGGACTGTAATTTGATGAAAAGGAATACTCAATATTGGAACATATCACATTCCAATCACCTATAGAAGTCAATAAGCACTTGACTATCTGCAAAGTATTGCGGGTAAGCATTTACATGGCACCAGCCAATGTTGCCTACCCTTGCTTTTTGCTCTAACCTTCTGTTCTAACTAGGTAGTTATCCTTTGAAGACACTTGAAACCAACAATTGCATGTGCCTTATTAGCTTAAGAATTGCAATCTAACAAAGAATTTGCATCACACTCATGCCATATTAGTAGGTGCTTGTGGGAAAGCAATTGATTAAGGTCAGATGTGATTTTAAGCTACTAACTGTAAAGCGTTTTTCTAGCTGACCTTTAGCCCGTAGCAAAGCAAGCCTAGGATATGACTCATGTTTATCCCTCCCTTTTGCATTATTTTGGGATAGTTAGGATGATTTGTCCCCATAAAACTACACTACTATTAGCATATTCAGGCGCTAGTAGAGAATTACTAGGAGCTAGCAGAGTTATTAGGCGCTAGCAGAGAGTTACTGGTACTAAATTTTGCCGTTTGGACAAAAAACAGGGCAAGAAAACTCACGATGATGCGACCCTCAATCCGGAGGTCCTTCTGCTCGAAGAGCCAGATCTGGATGCGCGCTTTCTGCAAGAAATCAAATTTCAAGAACCAAATCAATTTACAAACCCTGACCGAAGCACCGCAAAATACGCAGGTATGAACATATAGCCCAGAAACAGATTAGAATTGCAATCCACTTACGCTCTGGAGGAAACGGAAGATGAGGTTCTGCCGCCGCGCACGCCCACCAAGGATTCGCCAACCACAACATCAAACATAGGGTGAGACAATCAGGAACAGCACGACGATATTATGAATGAAAAACAGAAGAGCAAACAAGCGCAGAGGGGAAGGGGGGCGGAGAGGTAGCTTACGATGGGCTGGGTCATGATACGCTGGACCTTGGTGGACGCCATGGCTGCGACGGCGGCGGGAGCCTCCCCTCCTCCTCCTCGTAACGTCTAGAAGCTTCTGGAGGCGTGCGCGGCGGGGCGGCGAGACCAAACCCTAGCTAGACGCGTCTGCGAGCGAGGCGGCGAGCGAGGGAGGAGGGTTTTGTTTCGCCCTCGGCAGGCTGGAGGCGATGGCGGCGGGCGGGGGGATGCTTGCCTTCGCCGTCGGATCCAACCAACGGCTGAGATTTAAGGGCCTGCATAGGCTGAAAGCCGGCGGGATGGGCCTTAGAATTCTCAGATGGGCCTCAGATGAGGAAATAAATGGGCCGGAAATTGTAGGGGAGTTCCTTCCACTGCGAGATCATTTATAATTTTGTTTTTTGTATGTATTGTATGTATATATGGAGGTACAAAATCTGTTTACAGTTTTACACACAGAGATCCAAATATTAACATTCAAATTTAGATTTGAGTCAAATTTATAGTGAATATAGGATAACTCAGTGTTTTTTTCACCATGATGACATGGATCGCTCGGTGAAGTCAAAGTGGAAGATGAGCTAGTAAAGGTTTTTTTTTGAGGGATTTTGGGGTAAAGGCTCTGGTGAGTCCATCGGAATATTAGGTGTATGCGAGTTTTTAAAGGCGGGTAGAAACTACCGTGTGTAGTGTAGCTGAGACGCGTATAGCATTTTGATGGCGGTGTATCATCAGTAGAGGGAGTGGCTAGACACCGCACAACGGCACAACTTAAAATTCAATATTCATCCATCGGTAATTCTTGGTAAAGGGCGTCCGGCGCGACGGTGGGCCGCCCGCGCCAGAGCTCAACGACTTCCTCTTATCTTATCTACTCATCCATTCGTCCCTAATCGTTCTTAAAAAAACTCACCTCACCGTAGCGCCGTGACAGCGCTCCACGACCGCACTCTCCACTGCGCCTCTGCTTCGTTAGCCGACATCTCCACCGCGCCAGAGCGCGGTAGCCCATCTTCCTCCCTCTCCACCGTGCCTCTCGCCCGCCGCGGCCTTCTAGAGCGCATGGACCTGCCACAACTTTCTCCACTGGACCTGTCATGCCCTTCTTCACCGGAGTAGCGAGCTCCACGCCACCAGTGAGCTCTACATAGTGAACTCCACACGCCGACGAGCCTCAATTCCCAAACATCAAGGAGATATTGCGCTGAAAGTGCGTGTTGCAAACGTATGCTTCAAGTTTTTAGAGGTATGTTGCAAGTGTTTTATATCGGTGTTGCAAAAATAGATCAAGATATTGCTCATGTTGCAATAGCTATACACATATGTTTCAAGTGTATGTTCCAACTGTTTCAGGCGTATGTTGCAAGTGTTTTATCATAATGTTGCAAAAGTAGATCTAGATGTTGCATATACATGCATGTTGCAAGCATATGTTTTCAAGTGTTTTCAGTTGCTTCAAACGTATGTTTCAAGTGTTTTATCCGGATGTTGCATATATTTTGCAATGGCTACACACGTGTTTTTTCGGTGTGTCAAACGTATGTTCCAAGTGTTTCTCTTGTTTTTGGACGACGCGTTGCAAGTGTTTCATCTGGATACTATAAAAGTAGATCCGGTGTTGCACATATTGTAATGGGGCCCACCTGTCAGAGTTGTTGGGGCATTGTGCATGTGTGTGGGAAGCAGAGGGATGGAGCACGACGCGGCCACGGGCGCTGGAAGCGGAGAGGGATGGCGGTAGGGGCGCGGACGGTCCCCTCCTGTGTGTGCAAAGCAGCGGCGTGGCGCCAGGCGATCCCTCTCAGGAGGTTTATCAGACGGATGGAACTAGTAATATTCTTGGTGTGTGGAGCTGCGTCCAGACGCCTCCACAGGACGGGACGTCCAAGCACTAGTGTCTCCATTCATCCAGCCGGACATGTGGTGTGAAGAAGATAGAATCAAAGGGTGGAAAAACAAGTAGTATTTTTTGCATTGTTCGATGCACTCATAGGTATGTCTATGTATTTTTATATTTTGGAAGAGGAAGAAAGAGTACTCGTCAAATCTCTACTATAAAAGACCAATCCAAACTATTTTAGGTACACCAAACAATACGTCTCCCGCTGAGGGAGCCAACCATTGTGCACCAATGAAATTGCACCTAAGATTTTAACATCATTAAAATCTATGGCTGCTAATCCTCCAGCACAGACTTCAACTCAATCCGATGGCCAACGTTATTTGGATCTCCCCACCTCCAGGCTTCAACGCACACCCGCCCTTCCGCTCCACCTCCCGCACGCCCTCTGCGACCGAGGATCGAATCCCACGCCCATAGCTAATTGCCGTCACAAAAATCACGCGGAAAAATCTCTACCTCCCTCTCTGATCTGCATTGGATGTAGCAATTGCAGGCGGTCATGTTTAAATTAATCAAGTTTTGCTTTTGGATGCAATGTAGGTATTCGGTGGTATTCCCTCTAAGAGGAGTTCCAATCCTATCTACATCTTGGAGGTATGTGATTTAAAATTGGGTCAGTTGCTTGCCTGCAGTTGATTCTTTAGAATTGAATACTAATGCAAATTCTTATTGCCTCTACTATATGATGAAAAGCAGTTAGCTCCTTAACTCCTTATCAATATCAACCGTACTTTGTACTTGTATGTGTATCATAAGATTTGTGCTGAACCTCACCCATTGCTGCCCATATGCTCAGTAAAGAGCCATTGCTATTCTGCAACTAAAGGTAGAAACAAGGTGAACGTTAGTGGTCGACCATGCAACTGCAAAAGGGCAAAAGGAGGTGGCAACATAATATGAGGAATAGTTCTGGTGCAAACAGAACAACATAATATCTAAATCTATTATTTAATTTGTTGCAGGAGCTTTCTGTAGGAGGTTTGCCTCACGATCGAATAGGTCAGCTTCAAGGTTTCTCTCCTTCAGTTCAACTTGCATAGTGTATGTCGCACTGATGCCATTCCCGCGTACTGCTTGTTTGACAAAAAATAACACACAAGTGTAAATACAGTTGGCTCATGCCCTTTATTTTTCTAGATGAAATTTGACAATAGGTTCATAACTAGCCTTGACATGCTTTTTATTGTTCAGTACATCTTCTATCAGTTGTTGTATTCATCGCAACAATTCAACATGATGGCCATGCTAAGTAGTGATGTGAAACATGGAAGCTGAGAGCTTATCAAAGCAAGGTTAATGACTAGAATTGTAGCAATTATTATATCAGACTTATTGGCTGTCAAGCAATTCGCTTTTATGCCTTGCAACAAATAAGTTAGATCAGTGAAAAAATTGATTTTATAAACAAAATCATTTTTGTTTGCATTTTACTATTTTAATTAATAATCCAACGTGTCCCTACTTTTCCTTTTTTATATATCCAACATGTCTAAATTCAGGGTGTATTGCTGTGGCACTTTTCTCATGTTTTGATCCAATTATCTTTTATAGAACTTAGACTTATGTTCTCAGAAGCCATTTTTGTTATTATGCAAGGTCTTATTATTTTGTTTGGGTAGTAAATAGAGAAAGGGTGCTAACCAATAGCCAAGGAAACAAGCAGGGCATTAGGAGCAGTCCATGGTACTGCCATGGCACCAGGAGTCACTATTTTTTTGTTTGGTTCTAAGTCAAAGGACTCTGGATGAAAACGCAACTAACAAAATCTCTTTTTTCTCTTTTCATTTAGTCACTCATGTTTTGTGGTCGAACACAAATGGCTGTTGGGTTCCTTGCGTTGCACTTCATGTCGTGTGGCAGGTCTAACAAACATGATACTCGATCACCCACCAGAGACTAAGATGGAGATTGGAGACCTCCCTCGGACCTATCAATGACCATGCCAGAGTCAAGATCATTCAAGAGTGCTAAAGTTCCACCTTAAAGACAAGTTTTTCATGTCTGGGTAATAGACAAGACACACAAAAGGTTAGGTGCAGGTCAAGGTTCATCCTCAACGAAAAATTCATAACACATCCAAGAGATGAAATTTTTGTGCTAATGATACATTTGATGGTGATGCGGTGGAGATTATTTCCACGGCTCAGGCCAAGATTCGCGGCAAGTTCCAATTATGCATGTAGTTGTATGGTAATTAGTAGAGTTGCAATATAATTATCCATAAACACTAGTAGAGAAATGATTTTCGGTTCGCACCTTTAGTCTCGGTTGTATTAGGGTTCGAGGCTAATGTGAGCATTAGTCCCGATTTAAATTTTACAGGCACCAAAGGCCCTTTTATCCCGATTAGTAATACCAAATGTGACTAAAAGCCACTTTTTAGTCCCGGTTGGTGTCACCAACCAGACTAAAGGTCTCCCATCCGAGACTAAAGGTGCCTCACGGATGAATTTAAAAGGAGAGCACCCAGAACTTTGTCACATGTGGTGTGCAGCTGAGTTGGTCAGGAAGCTACGTGCGAGGCAAGGAGCTTGGGTTAGAATCTCACGCACCGCAAGAGAGGTCTCCTAGTACATAAACTGTCTTTTTAGTTCCGAGGATGGGCTTTAGTCCCGGTTGCGTGACCCGGGATTAAATGCCCCGGCCTTTAGTCCCGGATCCGCAATCCCGGTTGGAAAACCGGGACTAAAGTCAGTTCCCAACCGGGTTTAAAACCCACAATTGTACTAGTGAAAGGAAAACATTAGAATTTTTTTGTGATTCCAATTTGCACACCCTAATGCTGTGGTAGCATTAGCACGAGCACGCTACTATTAATGTAAATGAAAATGAAGAATCCTAGAGAGTCATGAATGCTCTCGGTCTTGGCTCGGGTCCTGTTGGGCTTGGCGGATGCTCGAGGTTCAACGGATTGCAAGGGCTTGTTTGGATGATGACGTGAGATTCTTGCCTGGCTAGGCAGCGTTGCAGCCTCGCATGTTGGAAGGAGATGACTCAAGGTTGAAGATGACTCAGTAGCTGCACGGTGACGATCCGGTGACCTTGGTTTGTCACCTAAAAGAAATGGGAAAAAAACAGACATATGATGTATAGTGTTTTCCTTTTAATTCAGGCACCAAGGAAATACAAATTGCGATGG